TTTTTAACACGAGCATGGCTCCAGATTTAGGGGTGTGATCAGTCGGGACGCGTGGACGACATTCGCCTTTCCTCGACAGAAATAGGAAAGCGTCGCTCCGAGCCCTACACTCTTAGAAAATTCCGAGCGTTTGGGGAGTAAAAAGTGAGCACACCGTGAACTTTTCGAATTTACTCTCTTATTACTCACCAAATGCTCCCTCATCGCACGTATCGAAGTGAACACCTTCAAGTTCTTCGCCAGGCCCCTAGATGGCGTTAAGGGTCTCGCTTTTCGCACTGTACACAAAAGTTCCCTTCTCTCTTTCCCTGGAATCGTCCCTCGCAGGATCGTTTGGTACCTTGCCGTATGTCTCGCCTAGTCTCATTATAGGAATCAATAAATCTTACTTGGGCTCCGTCATAGATCAAGTACCGATCTAGGTCAAAATGTATCCAAACCGATTCGAGAGCAGGCTAGGAAAGCCCTTGCGAACCTGCGAACGAGGTTCGCGGGAACGGAGACGCGCGGTTGTTATCCACATATTCAAGACATATTCATGGAGTCCAGGCCATAAACAAGCTCAAATTCCTATCGAGAACCCTTTTGGTACACATTTGCTTTTATCCGCATAGAAGATCTAGAATAAATAGAATTTGTCCGTGAACTTAATTTAATCACATATCTCGATTAATTGAGGTAATAAGGGACTGATATCTAGGACACTACTGAGAGAGGTGGCCCATCCTCTGACATGTACTGTATTCAGTACAGGCGGGTAGTAGGTCATCGCCTGTACGAGAGCGAAAGCGACACACATTATACCTCGTATATGAGAATTTTCGCATTTGCATGACAACTCCATCACTTTCTGATGGGAGCGTTTTTACTCACGGAGGAGGAGAGCAATTTTACTGCTTGGTGATGGAGCGAATTCGCTCCTTTCCCAGAGTAAAAGGGGGGTGAAACTGGAGTTAGCTATTTTGCTCTCTTTTTTGAAAAAAATCGCTCCCCTTATTCTAAGAGTGTAATCCTCGCTAGAGAGAAAGTCGCTTGGGATGGACTCCTAGGTAACAAAATCCCTCCTTGTTCTAATAATTGATCCCATTTTCTGGGAGCATTCACCAGGATTCACACGGTCGAAATGAATTTCGTCATTCTAAAATCGTTGGAGAGTACTGAGCACCCGATCGGTTGCGAATTGCACTTGCGATTCGAGAAAATGTATTTTTAACGGAAGATGCATTTTCCGCTTGAAAATTTCCCGCTCGTTCGCACGCGCAGATGTCTCAATTCTCCGAGAAACTTTATGTTGAACTTTTTTTTCGAAGACATGTTTTAATCTGAATGGAGACTAAGGCATTCATCGAAGCGTTTCATCGCGAGGAGAACGCTGACGTCCTGTTCGCGGAGAATCTTCGCGATGGCGTCCGCCTTCGCCCGGGATGGGCCTTCGACGTTGAAGCTGGCATGTGCGGATCGACGGGGCCAAACATCGATTCGACCGGAGCCTCACCTACGAGGAACACTTAGTGCAGGTGAGCAACAAGATGAAGACGCGCAACGACATCGTCCACGAGCTAGCTGGGACCAGCTGGGGCTGCAACGCGCGAACTCGACGGACGGCGTCACTTGCCCTCGTGTTCTCGGCAGGGGAATACTGCCGTCCGGTGTGGGGACGCAGCGTCCACGCCGGTCACGTCGACACGCGGCTTAACATCGCCATGCGTGCAGTTACCGGTGCGTCGAAGTCGACGCCAACGTGCGGGCTCCCGGTGCTTGCACGCATCCCTCCACGATGCGTCATGGCGACCTCCCGATCCGGAGAGATGTGGACCCTGTACCCCCGAATCGCCTCTCCTCGCGACGGTCGTGCAGGACCGAAGCGGCCTCTCTTCACTCGGCCGACATCGACGAGGGAGAGAGGTGGCAAAAAAAATTGGCCTCGGCGGAAGTAAAAAAGAAGATCCCACCACCTCCCTCCGGGTTTCGACCTTCCTCGCCGCCAGTGGACCACCATCGACCGCACGAGAACCCCACACGGACGATGCGGACACCCGATGCACGAATGACGCATGAAAGACGCGAGACCGCGGTCGCGAACGGCAAAGCGTCGATCACGTCGTCAACGACTCCTGCATCTTCGCCTTCGCCGGTGGAGCCATCGAAGTCCACTCCGCCTATCCTGCGGCTATCGAGTGGATTCAAAACCTCAAAATACACATGTAACTGAAGACAAGCTGCAACATCATCCATACAAATGAAAAAGATCGCGGGGAGACACCGTTTAGCAATAGCAGAGAATGAATCGGTCGCTGTTTCCCCGCCGAAATTTCTCGATGAGAGGCGAAGACAACGAAAATCCCATGAAATCCATTTCATTTCTCTGCTACAATAATCCTTCCCACCGCATCGCTACCCGAATCGAGGTGCGCTTCTTCCTGCATTTATTTACGGTGAACGGAAATACAGGAAGAAGGTAGCCGTGCAAAATGTTTGTGCTAATTTGTGCAGTCGATGACTCGAGAGATGAGGCCGAGATGAAATTAAGACCTGGCCGATTTGGACCTCCTTGACAGCCGAATCAGTTGCCAGACTTTGGGCAAAATATGAAGATGAGCAGATGAGGAATTTCATTTGGTGACCGTGTCGATCGACTTTCCGTGGTGCGTTGCCTCCATCGATTATAGGAATTCCAGATGTCGTGTTAAGTATGGGATTTTCTAAATTGGGAGGAGACTTTTCATGCATGCACTCTTGGAAAAGGGGGAGTGATTTTTCTCAAAAAAGAGAGTAAAATAGCTAACTCCAGTTTCGCCCCCTTTTTACTCTGGGAAAGGAGCGAATGTGCTCCATCACCAAGGAGTTAAATTGCTCTCCTCCTCCGTGAATAAAAACGCTCCCCTCAAAAACTGATAGGGATGTCATGCAAATAAGAAAATTTTCACTTACATTATCTCCTCTAGCTTTCGGATTAGGCTTCAAACCGGGCAAAGACGTTGCCAATCGGAAGGTTTTTTTTTTCTTAAAAGTCATAGTTTGAACTCTTTTTTGCATATTTAGGAAATCAATTTTTCACAAAATAAGATCCTTAAATGAAATTCGAACAACCTTCACTTCAAATTTTAAAAAATGTCCAACTTTTCCCGAAAACTAAAGCCTTTTTTATTCTTTTCCTCAGGCTCCATCCAATCGGAAAATTATCCTAACATTCGATGATTTCAACCTGGATGATAAAGGGAATTGCATCTACGGCGATCATTTGACTGTTTACAGTCCGGAAGGAGAGTCCAAAGTATACTGTGGAGCAAATATTCCCCCTCCCATAGAATCCTTCGGGAACACACTTCCCAGGTAGCCAAGACTATACGGGCCAATCATGGCCCTAATAAGGCATCTTTGGCGAATGTTTGGCAATGGCATCCACACTTGGACCGCACAAGGGAAAAGTCTGGCTAGCCAAACAATATAAGTGCATCTGGCATCCTAATGTGAGCCAGAGAAGGACCATATCAACTAGACCAGATTCTGGGCAACCACATTAGGGAAACATGAAGATGCCATATTACAGCCTTACTCACGTGGGATGAGGAGGTGCAGTTCGACTTCTCAATTAGCTGCATCGCAATTTATCATTTCTCTGTACACTCTGCATCCTGATATGGAATTTATTTCAGGATGATACATGTCAATCCACGATCAGCATGACATTGTTATGTTGTTCTCCCAGTTGGTTCCTGAGACTTTTGAAGTTGAATATAAATATTTATGTTATGCAAGGGAAAATTTTCGAATTTTTATCTTCCATTACCCCCAATACCGAAATAAGCGAAAAATATAGTTTGAATTGAAAGTAGCGCTTCTGTGCTATCTCTTGTCGGTCGTATGAACTATCGTCATGAAACCGCAGAGCAAGCTTCCGGTACAGTGACAGAGGATTAGACAAACGAATGGTTGACCCTTGTTGAATAGAAGCACTGTCAAAATCTTCGTCATTCCTCGTCACAGTCTCTACAGTCCCCTCGTCAATCTGAGGCCTACCCATCTCCTCAGGTCAGCAAAGTGATTTTTGTACCATTCTTATGAATTACCCCGATAACACTTTACGTTGGGCCCACGTCGGGTAAAGGTGGGAAACGTTGGCGCAACGTGCATGTTGGGGAACGATGTTGGCCCAACGTGGGCAAATTGGTCATACGTGTAGCTTTGACTTCCGTTAAAGATGGCAGCTGCCATGATCATGAAGCTGGAGGCCTCGTGGCTGTGCAGTCTAAGTTGATGTCTTCTGTTAAAGATTCGTTGTACAGTACAGTGTTAAAGGTACCTGTGTTACCACAGAAATAACATATGAGTTTGCATATAAGAGTTGCTAACAATGTGAAATTTACACCTTGGCCCATGTTCTATGGAGTTACTGCAGTCTTTTCGCAGTGAGTAAACATACTGTTCAATGCTAAGTCTTTATGGTCCTACCGACACCAGCCGAACTAAAGTTTCGTTTGGTCTTATGAATAATATGACCTGGTATTTGTTGGTTTTAGAGTCATAATACCAGTTGTGTCAATGCCCTAATGGAGATTGTGTTGAACTCATTCTAAAACCTCTGTAGGGTTGCCTTTTGTGGTTAACGGCCTACATTGGCCAATACAATTGGAGTATTTTCTTGGGCTCGCTTATAGCAGTTGAATTTAGAACTCAAAGTTGGGTCCTGCCATGCTTCACAGTGGGCTTAGCCTGGTGGTGATCTTTAAAGTAAGCCCCAATTGTGTCCATTTAACAAGAAAGCCAAAATTCATTTCACCATTTACAGTGTGCGGTCAACCTTCACAGCTTACAGATTGCATCATGGCTCCCATTGCTGTATTTCATGTTGCTTGAACTGATTTTTGTAACAATCTAGCCTAATGCTTTACATTTTCTTCCCTTGTCATTTAATACAAGAGCAATGGCTGCAGAACACTGTTGTCTATGTAATGACAATACATAGACAACGGTGTTCTGCAACGAAGTGTTCTTTTTTTTTTACAGAGTAAAGTCTGTAAGGAATGACAGGCAATGTTCAGGCAGTGCCCTCATTTTATGGGGTTTCTTCCAGACAGTAATGGGGAAATTGAAGTTGCTGTTGTTTCATCAACATGGATGAATGGAAATGAGATGGAGATAGCTTGGCCACCATGTAAGACTGACAGAAACCTCAATGAGGCTTTGACTCTTCATCATCTCCCAGCTGATGACTGGCAGTGGTACGGTTGTCGTCGCATTTTGTATGCTACAGGTTAGTTGCTTAATGAAACTTTGATATTTGGGTTTACCTTTGAAATTGAAGTTGCTTTCTCTTTTCTAGCCAGCTTGGAACAAGCACGGAAAAAAGCAAAACTAGCTGAGGATACATCTGGTCTGGAGATTGGTGATGAAATGGAAGAAAAGGAAAGACGAAGAAAACATGCCAAAAACTCAGAAGTTGCTGAAATGAAACAAGATTTGCACAGGCAGGTTCCATCAGTTGGAGAGTCATCAGGTGGGAGTTCAGATGCAGTAACTATTTTGAGCAGGGACCTACTATATCCTCCAAGACCCCCCCCCCCGTGTAGAATTACAAGAGAACCTGATGCCACATGGTTCTTCAAACTTTCTTCAGTCCCCTTCATTTTCTCAGAGTATGCTTTCTTCATTTCTCTGAGTCCCTGGTCTCCAATTTTGTCACATAAAACCCTCTTCATCCCCTTCATGTTGAGTACTTTCCCATTCCAGTTTCTTGTGGAGCTGGAACCAAATCAACATATCTCAACTCATATGGAGACAAGGCTCAAGAAAAACAGCTATCAGTCTCTCCATTAGGTGTGAAACATCCCCATCACTCTTCTTCATGCAGATGTCAGGAGGACCACCTAACCTATACTCGTAAGTAGACTTCAGTATTATACCCTTTCAAAAATAACTCCTACCTGTGGAAAAGAAGTACATTGGGTGGAACCTTCCATCCTTTTTTTTGTTTGACTGTTGAAACTCCTGCACAGGTTCTTGTATTTTGCATATTGAATTAAAAAAGATGGAGAGGGCTTTCCCATTAAATAACATTTGCATGATCATTGAATAATTTCAGAGCAATGAATGAGAAAAAAAGCCATATTCTCTCATGAGGCTGTGGAAGGCTACCTTTTTTATGAAATGGTTTACTATATCAGTATTTTCTATATGGCACTCAGAAGGCATCCATTCAACTAGAAATTGATTCCTGAATTGGCTAAGGTGATTATGCTCTTGAAAATAAGAGATCTTCATTACTTTGCCTTCATATATATATTCATTCTGTTTATGCAAATGAAATCTAATGTCTGTGGTTATATGCTCTGTGGAGAACTCTCTTTGGGAAGAGTACAACTGTGAATGAATGCTATTAATTGGAATGAAGTCTGATTGGTTTTTTCATAAGAATATATGCTTGGAGTTACTTTTTCATAACCAGGAGAAATTTTTTTCCAATTTAATTTAAGTGAACAATTTGGCCCATAATTGATATTATTCAATTTAATCCCTTTTTTCTTACATTTCCATTTGTTTTCTTGTGCCATGCACAGAATACGTTACTACAGGTTCATTCTTGATTTCAGCTTTTCAGGAGTTGATTATCCGAAAGCTGGAAGAAATCCATCAGCGGGTGATCTTGATGGAAAAAAAACGACAAACACAAGCAATCTTGAGGTGTCACCAATGGTAATGACTAAACAAGACCTGCCCATGCAAATTCCCCTGAACACATTAGATGATCTTCAACTCTATGAAGAACTCTGAGTGCAGATCACACTGATCGTGCTGACTTGGTTAGCATTTTATATTTATCTCTTTTTATGACATCCTCCCTGTTCTTTTTGCTGTTGCAAAGATCCTTTAAAAGTGAAAATTTCCCAATAGAAAATATTTCCCAATATCCCATAGGCCCATGGGTATCAAGCGTTGTCTCTTGTAACCAAAATCTTATAAACTACTATTGGTGTCTTCCCATCTGAAGTAAGTTTAAGCTCCAAAAAGAATGTATTGTTGACATTAGTCTTAGGTCAATGACACCATGACCTTTGGTG